AAGACATGACTGAGAAGTCATGGAGTTGGTAGAGGCATCAAGAGCCCATGTTGAAGAGGGGTCATTATATTTGGAATCGGGAGAGAAGGGTAGCCTCCTGAGATATGGTGTCACTCGGGGTAGGAGCAAATGTTCTGGCCTCTGATGACAGACTCAGAGTCAGATATCAGCTACTGGTCACTCCCTGCAGGGTTTGACCTCATTGCTTAACCTCTTTGGCCTAGTTTGTCTCTTGGGAATGGTGATGCATTTATTAGCAACCTCTGGGCAACATTGTAAGGATCAATTGAAGTAATGATGTGAATCAACCCAGGGACTGGTATGTAGTGATCTTTCAATAAATATTAACAAAAAAATTACTACTACTAAGGATAATAATAATAATTGTAGAGACTTAAAGATTCAGGAAACTTAAACCTGTATTTCCTTCCTCCTCTACATCCACTGCCACGGATTTCTCTGCAAAACTCCCTTTTCTTGGAAAAGTCATCCATGCTTATTTATCTCCTTTTCTTCACTTTCTACTCTCTCTTAAACCCACTTCAGTTTTTTAAATAACAACTTTATGGGAATAAAATTCGCATACCATAAAATTCACCCTCTTTATACAGTTTTGTGTTTTTCTAGTATGTTCACAAAGTTGTGCAACCATCACGACTATATAATTTCAGAATATACTCATCCTCCCCAAAACAAATGACATGTCTATTAGCAGTCACTCCCCATTCCCCCTGACAGCTGCTAATTTTTTTTTTTCTCTCTCTGCTAATTTGCCTGTTTTGGATATTTCAGATAAACATAATGATATTCTATCTGGCCTTTTGTGTCTGGCTTCTTTCACTTAGCATAACTCACTTATTGTAATTCTTTCATGTAGTGGTACTTCATTCCTCTTTATGGCCAAATCATATTCCACTGTCTGGCTATACCACATTTTGTTTATACCTTCACTACTTGATGGACACTTGGGTTCTTTTCCCTGTTTGGCTATTATAAATATTCATGTACAAGTTTTTCTGTGGACATGCTTTCAGATCTTTGGTGTAGGTACTTAGGAGTAGAATCCTGAGTCCTGGTCACTCTATGTTTAACTTCTTGTTGTTGTTCAGTCGCTAAGTTGCGTCCTACTCTTTGTGACCCCATGGACTTCAGCACACCTGGCTTACCTGTCCTTCACTATTCCTGGAGTTTGCCCAAGTTAACTTTTTGAGGAAGTGCCAAACTATTTTCCAAAACAGTGGCATCATTTTACAGTTCCAAAAACAGCCTATGAACGTTCTAATTGTCCACATTCTCATACACACTTATTATTTTCTGTTTTTTTTTTTTTTATATTGCCATCCTGTTGACTGCTAAGTGATATCTCAGTGTGGTTTTATTTTCATTTTACTAATGGCTGATGATACTGAACATCTTATGTGCTTTTTAGTTAAATTTTTATTTTACCAGTTTCATCGAAATCAACATAGGCTTTCAACAGTGCTGACTCTGTTGATTATACTCTCCATGAAATTCCTCCTTTCATCAGTTTTCGAACTTACCCTCTCTTGATTAGCCTCATTCTTTACTGTATCCTTAGTCTTAGTCCTACTACTTCTCTTCCCAAACTTCAAATGTTGAAGTGTTCCAGTTCTGTAGCTGTGCACACTACATTTTTTGCATGACATTTATATCCCCCTGAAATTAAGTTGTATGTTTATTTGCTTGTTTATTTTTGGCATCACCCATTGCAGTATAGTTCTAAAGAGGCAGTGACTTTGTCTTGTTCATTACTATATCACTGGTTTCTAGAATAACACCTGGTTCTAAATATTTTTGCACAAATAAATGTATTAAAAAATGTAGACAGATGTTATCTGAATAAAGAACAAAGATCTCCATAATTAAATAAGCTTATGGATTGCTAACTGGACAAATTTAACCGTGTGTCTTTTGGGTACATCTTCTCTGACAGTATACTAGTGAGCATTGTGAAATTGTAGTTGACCATGAAAAATTTTTTGGTATGTAGTGCATCATAGATTTTTAAAAATACTCTTATACTGCAACATTTAATTAGAGGTTTTATTAGCACTTAGAAAAGTCAGTTGTGATCACCAAAGCTCAACATGAATTCACTAAGAACAAATTAGGTCAAATTATCCCTGCATGTGCTGTTTTTGGGTGCTTTATCAGGCCATTATATTGGAAGGTGATGGCAATGGTGTTCCTTCACAACAGCAAGGTTTTGAGCTGGTTTTATCATCATTTCCCTTTTCTGAGAAGTTGAGTGGGTTGTCAGGATCTTGTGATCAATCTGTCACTTAAGAATTTAAGTCAAACCATCAGGCTGGGTTGAGATCTATGCCCTTGGGGGAAATCACCTGTATGGTGAGCTGTTGGCTTTCATTAGTGTCATGGTGAATTTAAGGTGGTTACCAGTCATCAGGAGTGGCATTCCAGGACTGGGTGGTAACTGAGACTATAGAGATAGCCCTGAACTAAACCCAGGAGAGCAAGGTAAAGGAACAGAGGTGTGGAATGGGCCTGGACCCAGGAAGTTTCCTTAATGTAAGTTCACAGCTACCTGTATGACCTTGGTGAATGAAGATGGGCATATTCCTAAGGACAAGGCACAGAGGGTGACCAGTGAGAAGTCAGGCAAGCATTCAGTAATATGACTTCCAGAATTCAATAGGGCAAGCAAAGTAGTGAGTGACTCTGATGCTCATGTTAGCATGTTTTCAGGAAAGGGGGTCAGGAACCAGGTGGATCATCTGAACCAGTGGTTCTCAAGGTATGGCCCTGGACCAGCAACGTTGATATCACTGGGAGTTTGTTAGAAATGCAAAATTTAAGGGTCTGGTGATCAGTGTTTCACCAAGCCGCAGATGCATGCTCAGATTTGAAAACTGCTAGTCAAAGCAACAGAAATAAGCTTTAGCAACAGGATAACTTTAACCATGTTCCATTCAAGGAGCTTCATAAGTATTTTCCCTTCTGGTATGGGAACCAACCCCTGAATGTGATTTCTACTCTATCTGCCAGTTAGAAAAATAATAAACATAACTAAAAAGGAAGAGTCATATACTGCAGTTATGTGTGCTGAGTATTACCTATGTACTATGGACTATGTACTATGGACTGTGAACTAAGCAGCAAGCTAAGGACATGGTTAGCTGATTTGTTCCCCTCAACAGCTCTGTGTGGCTGAAATGGTTGCAGCCCCTATTATCTGTAATGGTTCTGAGATTCAGGACTTACGAGGCAAGACCACAGAAGCTAGTAAGTGGAAGTTCCAGGAGTTGCATTAGGCCCTTTGGCTGCAGAACACTGGTCTGGGATACCTGATTGTTATAAAGTCCAAGGTAGATGGTGGGTGGGTAGATGGATGGAAGAAAGGAAGGAAAAAAGGCAAGGAGGACAGGAAGAAAGAAGTATAAAAGGAAGGAAAGAGGAAAGAAGATGGAAAAGGTAGCTGCAGGCTTAGGAAGTAAAGGTGGAATGAAGGATAGGCTATTTCCATGTACTATGGCATTTTTCCAGTCTTGCTATTAAGTCAACTAGCCCATGTGCGTCAATCAGTTTCAGTATGGGCTTATCCAGCATTGGTTCTTTCTAAGAATTTGGTTCCATGGATAGTCAGTGATAGGTTCTTCCCCCCCTGTTGTTTTTTTCTCTCTGTCTCTCACTGCTCACCTTGTCTTTGTGACTTAGGCATGAGCTCGTCCCAGGTGCTAAGCAATCCATAAACGGCTTTCTCATTAACTGGAGAATATTCTGGGAAAAACACGTGACTCTTTGGGGACTTTGTGCTCAGGGGCTGTTGTGAAGCTCCTCTCTGCTTCATTCACCTTGGGCGGTCTTGCTCCCTGCCTCTGCTTTAATAGCGTATCATTTCCCCCTCCTTATGCAGCAAAACCACAGGGACATTTAATCTCACAGTCTCCAGAGGCTGTTGGGAGGCTTGGAGCCTGATCGCTGTAATCAAGAAGGGGTGGGTGTGATCAGAGACTAGGTCTGATTCTTTGTCTGCCTCTCCACATTTAGGCTTTTCCTTTTTCCATTCCTCCCCCTGGTTTGTAATAAAGGAGGGGACAGAGCTCAAGGGCAGGCATGAGGTTTAACTTCAGCTGAGGTACAATAGAGGCTATTTGGAAAATAAAACTTTCAAATGGCAAGTTAGCCTTGAAGGATATATTGAATTAGATATGCAGTGCTCCTTGATTCATGATCTCTGCATAATAGCATTGCTAAGTATATTACCTGGGTGCTTTAGTATACTAGAGAAATGGGCTGTTTAAAAGATTAACTTCACAGAATCGGTGTTAACATGCTGATGAAGAACGTGGGAGTAAGAGCCGGATGGGTGAGCTTCCTGCGCTGACCCTACCACTTCCAGTGGGCCCTTGACCTCTCTGAGTATAGATGCCCTCATCTGTGAAATGGAGATCAAAGTAGAAGTTTGTAGGGGGTTATTCAGATCATGAAATGAGACAAAAGCCCAGCACAGTGCTTTCTTACCTAATTCAACACCTAATAAGTGAGAACTGTTTACGTTACTATTATATGATTATTATTTGAAGTCCTGTCTCTGTAATTTGCTTCATAGTCCTTTTTACTCTCACTCATCCTCTCTTTGTTTATGCAGTTCTCTGTTAGCCAGTTCTTATTTCTCAGTTTCAGAGTCGCCATTGTCACCTTTGTAGACGTGCTGTCATTTCAAAGCACTGGCTAAATACAACCGAGACTGACAACTATGAATAATTCCACAGAGCCCCTAAAACACTGGCATTTCACTCGAACTCTCGCATATGCCACCACGTTGTCCTGTCTTGTTTTTTGCCTCTCTCCTGTCTGCAGATTTCAGATATGGTTACTGGAGATGGTAATCATCTTCCTCTGAAAAATAATCCAGCAAGAACCCATGTGGAGTAATTGGACTTCACGAGAGCATCGCTGTCAAGTCTCGAAATATATGAGGAAATAATCACATTTTATTCTTTCTTTTACTTTTTCAGCATGTTCACATCCACATTCTTCCGAGGAAGGCTGGAGACTTTGACCGGAATGACAGCATCTATGATGAGGTAGGTCTGCTCTCTCTGATCTTATCGTTTGATCACTGGTGCTATCAGTGTAATGAAGTCAATCTGATGAATCAGGAACACTGGAGGTATGGTTTTCAATGGTATTCCACCCAGTAAGACTTGAAAGTGGCAGTAGATGCCAAGAAGCCAAGAAGGGCCTGTGCAGAAACTGAAGGCAAATGAATTGTAATGATGTTCTTTTTCAAATGAAACCTGGCAGAAGCCAGGTGTCCTTGTGATTTCTGCCCTGTCATTTACCAGGGCACTAAACATTTGCATGGAGATACAGCCCAGAGGTTCCATAGGAGGTAATTTAGAGTGCCACCAATGGAAACCAAGCAGATTGATGTGTGACTTTTTTTTTAGTTGAATACTACATTTAATTTTAAACCCACTTTGAAATCCAGTTTGTCTTTCCTAATAGCATTTATTCAGAGTGGAACTTTGAATTGTGGTCAGCAGAAACTAGGTTGGTTTGAACGATAATGTTGCAGGAAGGGTGACCCCTTCCAGGGCCTGTGAGTGTGCTCTTGTCTCACAATCAGAAATGAATTGTCCAAGGAAACGCACATGCTAACAAAGCAAGACACTTTATTGGGAAGAGGCGTCTGGTCAGAGAGCAGGAAGGTGAGGGAACCCGGGAGGACTGCTCTGCCATGTGACTCACAACCTCGGCTTATGTGGTGATGGGATTAGTTTCCGGGTTGTCTCTGGCCAATCATTCTGACTCAGAGTCCTTCTGGGTTGCCCACCCATTGCTCAGCCAAGATGGATTCCAGCAAGGAGGATTTTGGAAGGTTGGTAAGACATATGAACTAGCGTCTCCTCTCTCCTTTTGACCTTTCCTGATTTCTTTGGGTTTATGGTAGTTTGTTAGTTCCACGTCCCTTACCAGGACCTCCTGTTGTAAGGTAACTCGTGCAAGTGACTCGTGCAAGTGACTCATGCAAGTGTCTCGCCTGGCCAGGGCAGGCGGTTTCAGTCAGTGTTTCCCCTCACAATAAGAGTGTGACCCCTGTGTCATAAACAGTTAGTGGTTAACTTATGACTTCCCTTCAAAGATATAAATGTGACACCAAAGATGAATAGCAAGAGTCAGGTGATCTGCTCCTAGGGCCTCGTCTACATAAGAACCTTGGCATGTCTGTCTCTGCTATGTGAACTGTGCCATCTATAATAGATGTGTTGGTGTGAAGGAAAAAAAAAAAATGATTTCAGCATGACTACTTTTAGCTAGGAAAGGGTACATATGTTCCCTACATGTGAGAGCTGATCTGATGGTAGTAGGGGCCTGGAGTGCTTGGTTGGGAAGGGTTCTGAGGCTGTTCTGGATGCATTAGGGAAATGTGCTGTGATAGATTAGCAATGTCTGCCATGGGTATCAAATATGAGAGAGGAGCCATTTATTTGACACTTCTGTTCTATCCCTTTGAGAATGATGTTTCAAGTACATTTTATAATTTTAATTGTTTGTCATGGTACTTGACCTCTATGATGATTCCCACCTGGTTCCTAGCAGTCAGAAACTTTTTAATTTTAATTTATAGGGGTTTTTATGCATCTTTTTAAAAATGTATTTGTATTTATTTGTAGTAACTAGGTATTAAAATGGCTACCCAAACCCTGAAAATTAAGAACAAGAGGTCAACAGTTAGTAATGGACTTATAAATCATTTATCTGGGAGTCACTGAATTCTCTGAGGTGACGAGTGAGCATGTCTAGGGCATCTCTCGCTGTCTTAGGCATCCTGTTTTTTCTAAGGGCTGCAGTCCGCCTGTGTAGGGTAGACACATTCTAATCACTGGTCCCTAAGTGCTGCTCTGTGGACCAGTTGCTGCAAATCTCAGTTCTCAAGGGGTCCTATTCCCAGAGATACTGATCCAGTATATTACAGCGCCACATTAGAGTCAGTAATTGTGTGTGCATAAAAAAATCCCCAGGAGATTCTGGTTCTTGGCTAGGTTTGGGAATGCACTTTCCTCCCAAATTTGTGCTTTCTCAAAGTATGTCCTATAATATTTTAAACTGAACTCATTTTCATTGGATGTGGAATGTATTTGGGGGGTTAGTAAGGGCTTAGTTTGAGTTGGAAGAAAATTAGAATTATGGAGTAATTATGGAAGAGATGCATTTTGAAAAAATCCAAGTACTGATCTTATTAGCATGAACTAAGGTTAATAAAATGTTGCCAAGTACAGGCTATTTTAATGAATAAATTAACACATGATTTATATACAAGTGAATACTGCTAAAGCAGTATTAAAAGTACTTGAAAACACTGTTTTCTTAGACTGAACTGTCACCTTGAAATCTTGTTTGTATTCCAAATGTGCTTGTGACAAAAGCTGCAGGGCTACATTTCAACCCTATTGGAGACACAGCGTCCAAGGTCAAGGTTGGCATGCGACATTTCTCTCCTCTCTCATGCTTTTGCTCTCATGTGCACCCTCTTCCAGGGTCTCCAGCCCCACAGGTGAAGCAACACGTGTCCCTACCTCCTACCTATCAGGAGAAGCTTCTCAGGAGAAGTAATTGCTAAGAGTTGTACTGGTGAGTTATAAGTTCCCAGTAAGGGAAACTGTACTAAGAAACTTGAAGAGATTGAACTTTGGAGACAGCCAGAGTAAGGTTCCAATTCCAGTGCCACCTACTGCTTGTGTGACTTTGGACAAGTCACTTAATCCCCTTTTCTTTAAAATGCAGATATATATAAAACATATACTTCAAAAGTTGTTGCATGTAATATATGGCATGACTGCAGGGGTCCTCAGCCTCTAGACTGCAAACCTGTAACTCCTGTCAGATCAGTGGCAACATTAGATTAGAAATAAAGTGCACGACAAATGGAACACGCTTGAATCATCCTGAAACCATCCCCTCCACCCATGGTCTGTGGAAAAATGGCCTTCCATAAAGTTGATCCCTGATGCCAAAAAGGTAGGGGACTGCATGAAAAGCTTACTGCAGAGACTGGTACATACTAAGCATTTATTAGTAAGTAACTGTTTCTCTTCTTATTAATGTTATTAGTTTTGTTTTGTTTTTCAAAAACAAAAACAGCCACAGTGGGTCAATGGAGAACCTGGATTTGAAGCCAGGTCATTGGATGCCCCCATTGAGCACTTCTTTCAAGGGTCAGAGTTCCAATTTTCCCTCTGTTTTAAATCACTCACTCTGAGATTCATCTTCCTCTTTGTACAAAAATACATCTCCAGTTTATGAACATAATAAGATAATGTCTAGAAAGCAGCATGAGAAACATGAGGCATTACACAGGCATTATTGGTACAAGACATAACGGACATTAGACTGAGTGATCTTAATCAGAAGTGATGGAGTGATGAGGGGCAGCATTCTTTATCCTGATGGGAGCACTGGATCCAGATTATGCATCTCTCCATGAAATACAACAAACAGACTGCCTGGGAGGGCCGGGAGTGGAGTGGGGACAGCAGGAGACTGAGCTCCATAAAACGTAATTGTATTCCTACTGCTGCAGAAATAGAAAATGATGCCTGCAGAAGCTCTGGATTATAAATGGGCTAGGAATGTTGTGTTCTCCCCAGGCGCTATTTGCAGAAGGATGGTGACAAATCCGAGAAGGTTCACAGAAAGGTGATGGGATGACAGAGCCTGAAAACAGTTACCTGGGGAGTCACTGAAGGTGAACATGTGTTGTCTGAAGAACATGTGTGGTTCGTAGAGGGAAGGCAGTGACAGGTTACCATTTCTAAATATCTGAAGGGCTGGCAGGTAGGAAAGGTATTGAAGCTGTTTTAAATGGTTCCAGAGACCAGATATAGAACTCCTAGGCATCAAGAAGGCAGTTACCAGTTCCACAGAACAGCAGGTCAAATTGATAGCAACTTCTGAAGGCTTAGAGTGACTTGCGAGGGGGTGAGCTTACCATCACTGGACCTATGCAAGCATGGAGAAGATGGCTGTGTTTCTTCGGGAGGACTTCTCAATCCAGTTCTTGGATGGGCCACATGGGTCTGTGTTTCCTGTTTTCACATATCTGGCTATTTGATGATCACTTCCATTTTTAGGTTACATAAGTTCTGTAACAAATAGTGTAGGGTTTTTGTTGTTGTTAGTATTACAGCAGTTGGGTTGCTTCCTAATAAAAAATAGTCTGTCTTGTTCAGTTCATGGAAATATAAGCAATAACTCTTCCTTGACTTACATGAGATTACTTGAATGATTAATCTTCTTCCCAGCCTCCTTCCTGGTTTTCCTCTAGCTCGGCATTGCCTTTGATGTTCCATGGGCTTTGTTTGCCTCCTCATGTGTGTTTTATTTTGCTTGTGAAGAACTTTTTAATGACAGGCTCTATTTTGCCGGCAGCACATTTTTTAATGAGTCCGGATGCTATTAGGCATGTCACTCATTCTCTGGGTCACTACCACTGTTGGTCTCTTACCCGACTTGCCTCATTTGTTTTTACCTGCTTGGCCCTTGAAGGCATTTGAGTTTGAAATCTCTATGTCATGGCTTACTCCTCAAATATTACTAGTCCCCAGTATCCTCCATCCAGTCTGCATGCCACTTAGCTATTACATCTGCTTCACCTCCTGGCTCCCTTGTTTACAATGCCCTGGGTGAGTCCTTTCGCTTTAGCAGTGGGTCTGCCCACGTCCCCAGTTCCTGTTAGTCTCATTCTCTCTCACCACTTGCTTTTGTCAAATTCTTGTTCCCACCTCAGGAACTTTGTGTATATTGTTTTCTTCACCTGTGACTTCCGTTTTCTCTTCCCCTTCATGCGGCTCCCATATCTTCTACCAAATCCAGGTACAAATATAACTTCCTCCAAAAGTCCTTTTTACTGATCCTCCCCCACCTCATCTAAGATAGCTAATCTCCTCTCCACTCTGTGGTAAGACTATTGTATTTCCATGCTTATTTCTTCATAACACCACACTCAAAATAATGTAGTGTGTTATTCACTGCCCACATCCCCAACTGATTGCTATCAAGCCATGAGAACAGGGACCTAATC